TGGCTCTGGAGTTCGCAAAGATACAGCTGATGATCAGATCCAAGATCTAAGGGAGTTTATAGCTGAAGAAGAGCAGAGGTCACTAGAGAAGAGAGACCACGGGTTTGACTCCATCAGATATCTTGTTGCACTTGCAAAGGACAGAAAATCGAACACAATGGCTTTTGTTATTAAAAAGTCAAGGAGAGGGCTGGGGCTGGGGCTAGTGGCAGAGCACTAGCCTAGCATGTGTGAGGCACTGGGTTGGATCCTTAGCACTGCTTACAAAAAAAAAAAAAAAAAAAACTTTACAAAAGAAGTCAAGGGGTACTTTAGCTTGGGCATAGCTGAATCCATGAGCTCAGGACGTGGATTCTGCACTTTCTACTTCTGCTTTTCTCCTCTGTATTGGCTCCAATCTCAAGCAAGCTTTTCTCTAGTGGTAGCAAAGCATCAGACGTTCCTCCTCCTTGGTCCAAAACCAGCAGAAAAGAAAGTGTCTCTTGCCTAACTATTTAAGCCAAAGTCTGGGCCACAATCTTATTAGTCCAAATTCGGGTCACACTCCCATCTCTGGGCTAACTCTGCAAACACTGGTACACGATGCTGTGATGAGGCAGATCTGAGTCTCATGTCCACTTGTGATACACTTGTGGGGAAAGTTGAAACTCTCTGGAAAACATGACTGAGGAGATTAGAGGAAGGATCATCAGAGGAAGCAGGAAGTAGGAATTAGGGGAGCGGATGTGCACTGGGCAGCAGAAACGACCCATGTCTTTCTTCTTTGACAGTGTTGAGCAGGTTGCTCAAGAGGTCATTCAAGTTGGTAGGAAAGTCTGGAGTGGAGAGGAATACCCCAAAGCCAGTTGTGGCATGGCTTCAGTGTCCCTGTGCCTTAAACGGATCTGATAGTGTTAGCACAAGTGCCTTTTAATAACTCTTCAGAGGAAAAGATTCTTAAGGGCAAAAGATTTTGCCTACTTGGTACTTACTAGTGGGCCTGATTCTCAATAAATGCTTGTAAATAGATGGATGAGTGGATGGATGGATGGGCAGGTGGGTGGAAGGGTGGATGGATGGGTGGGTGGGTGGTTGGGTGGGTGGATGGATGATACAGGAATGAACAAATGAACCACTGAATTTGGAAATAGCTAGAAAGAAGCTTAGATAAATAAACAGAATGCTAATTTACTAATTGACTAAGAGAAATAATTTGGCAGTATCCCAGTAACTAAAACACTTTCTTCCTGTCTGCAACTACACTTGGGAAGTAAAATCACAATTAGAAGATTGCTAGTGACTAGAAAAGGGGACTTGGGGTGCCCTGCATGTAGCAATGGACCCTTGAGAAACACTTGAAGGACACAGCGTGGATGGTCACTAACAAGAGCTGTCTCTTCTTGTACATCTTTCTTTGTTCCATTATATATATGTATGTTTCAGAGGGTATCTTATTTTCTTTGTTCTTGATTTTTTTTTTCTTTAAGAAAGTCTTACCCCAGCATCTAAAATTCTGGAAGAGAGTGCTTTCCTCATCCACATAACCTGCACAGCAGCTGCGAGCGTCTCTCTGCCCCTCAGATGGCTCGGCTCCCCAGTCTCAGAGCCTGTAAACGTCCAAAGCCCACCCCAGATTTCAGAAATCCTTGTTAGATCTGTGTTCTTGTGGCCACCCCTTCCCCTGCTTCCCCGCGTGATCTCAGTTATGTCAACCCTGATACCACTCACCGGTTTCTATCAAATAGAAAACTCACTCACACTGTCCACTCCTAAGTAGATGATTTCTAAAGAGCTGAGCAGAGGGGTAGGAGGTAGCAGAAGGGGCTCCTCTGCACATGGAACAGCAAGCTGTTTAAAGTCATCCCTGGCCAGGTGCAGTGGTGCATGCCTGCAATCCCAATGGCTCAGGAGGCTACGGCAGGAGGATCGTGAGTTCAAAGCCAGCCTCAGCAATGGCGAGGCACTAAGCAACTCAGTGAGACCCTGTCTCTAAATTTAAAAAATACAAAATAGGACTGAGGATGTGGCTCAGTGGTTGAGTGCCCCCGAGTATAATCCCTGGTACCCCCAAAAATAAATAAACAAATATATACAGTCATCCCTGGACACTCCTATTCTACTGAAGTCCTTCTGACCATCCTGACACCAGGGGTTCCCATGCTGGCCCCTTCCACCAGGGCCCCTAGTCTCACTTCCTCCTCACACTTCTGTTCCTCTCCCCCTCCCTTGTCCCTCCTCTGTCCTCCTAGCCCCACCCCAGGGTGTGGGCTTCCCATCCTTGACTCAGGCACAGAGCTTCCCTCTCAGCTAAAGCTGGGCCTGATGATTTTGTCTTCTAACATTGAAAATGTTTTTCACAGCTGGGGGTGTAACTTCGTGGTGAAGCACCTGTTAAGTACATGAGAGGTCCTTGGTTCAGTCTCTGAGACAATCAATCAATCAATCAATCAATCAATAACAATGACTTTTTCTTTCTAAAATGAGGTTTGTGGGCCATCAAAACAAAACAAATGTATTGAATGTTATTATAAGTCCAATAAATAAACTTCCCAACCACTCCTCTTGTTCTTCATTTATGCAATACAATGTTGATCAATAATAATTACGTCATGACTATGTTGTTTCTGCACCTCTCCAACATTCCTATCCATGTTGGTTGAGAGGACATCTTCTCTGTGACCTATATTTCCCCCCCACAGAGATAGGCTTTCTGATTCACTAGCTGTGTGTTCTTGTGCAAATGACTTAACCTCTCCGATTTCAGTGTCACATATAATACCAGTGACAATTTCATTCATGTAAAGTGCTTACTACATAGTGAGGGCTCAGTAAATGTTAACTGCCAGTTTTCTTCTTAGTCCCTTTTCTCCTGGAATAGTGTGCCTTTGTCAATATAAAAACAAGAAGAGTTTAAACCTTTGCATTTTAATGAATCCATTTTTGAGCTGGGGACTAGATTCTAAACTGTCTTAATGTGATGCCCTTCAACTTGCTGAAAGTCTAGTCCATGGAGGATGACCAGGGGCTAGCTCAGTTGAGGCCTGCATTCAGAGATGAAGAAGGGTACAGGAACATGACAAGAATATAATCCAATCCAGAGTAGCCACAACCAGAGGGACACCAGCTGTCCTGACTCTAGCTCATTATCAAGCCAGAGGACTCAGGTCTCAAGCCTGAAGGGTCTCAGAGCTGGCTAGCACCTCATGATCCTGATTCCACTAGACCTGTCCTGGATCTGAAGTGAGTCAAAGGCCCTTCAAATTTCACAAGAGCGTGAGAAGAACTGAGGCCCCACACACCTCCCAGAGGGGACCCAGTTTGCCTCCTACTGTCTGGAGCCCCAAGAACAGACAGACTCCTTGATCAGGTGGCCAGAGTGGTCCTTCTAGTTCAGGTCGTTCTCACAGCTGTATCTGATTGCAAAATCTACCTTTCCCCACAACCCACCCATCCCCTGCAGCCTCCGCTGCTCACTGGAGCAGGCTGGTTGGGCTGTGTGTTGCAGCCTCTGGAAACATAGGATAGGAATGGAGTGGGAGAGCCAGACATGGCTGGTGAAACCAGGCGGGGAGTGGGGGAAGCTGCTGAGCAGGTCCACAGGGCACATCTTTTAGACTGAGACTAGCTGCCTCTCTACCCTTGCAGAAGGCAGAGCTATCTGAATCTGGACATGAGGGGGCTGGCAGAGGCAGGCAGGGGTAAGGAGGGACATTATAGCCCCCATAAAAACTACCTAAGGGGCACAGATCTATTTAAAAAATAATTTATCTAATTCCTACTCCCTACATGAGGACATTTTCCATTTGATGTTTCAGACTCTTCCTGCAGACTCGAACTTGTCTTTCTGACATTGGGTTCCCATTTGCCCATGCTGCCATGGGCGTTGGGAGAGAAGCAATGTGTTTTTGACTCTCCATCCCTGGAGGAGAGTCTCTTGCTCCTTAATGTGTTCTGACCCTGTCCCTCATGGTCCTCTTTGAAGAAGTGGGTACTTAAAGGGGAATGAAAGGCCACCTAGGGGAGAGGTCTCCCACCAGCCCAGGGGGGTGAGCCCATGAGACCAGGAACTAAGAAGCACAAGGGGTCCCTGGGGAATCCACTCTAGGCAAGATG